TATATGATTATAAATAATATAATGTAATGTTATAATGTTAATTTATATTTATTTAGTTTAGTTTTCATAAAAATATTAAATTTATATATGTATTAAATGAACAATGTACAAATATTAAGTATACGCCACCCTCCTACAAATGTGAGATTTGATTGAACGTAGTTTAATCTATCTGAAATTTTTTACATTTACTCCAATGTAAATTAGAAATAAAATACTTTTAAGCACCTAACCTATTTTATTGCACACTCTGTCATACTCTTTGATTTTTTGGTATCAGTGCCAAAAAAAAGTGAGGTAAGGCGTGCTTATGTTAAAGAATTAAAGTTTATTTGAAATTGGTTTTAATAATGTCCCTAAAAAATTAAGAATCTCTGGCTGTATATTATTTAGAGTGCACTCCAAAGATTAAGCGTTCCGTACACAGTGCGGTGCGGTAGTGCAGTATAAAGTATTGTCACTCATACAACAGAGCTCAGAATAGACCGCAGTATATCATACATTTGGCCCATCAACTTGCCCTTGAACATCTCCTAAGAATCAATATCAATCATAATAATTCCACACAAAAAAAAAAAAAATAAAAATAAATTATGATGCAAAAATACTCATTTCGAAAATTGTTGTTGAGCCTCGTAAAGTGAAATTCCCGGTAAGCCGTAAAGCCAGGTAATTTAGAAATGATCCCTTGCAATTCCAAATTATTGGTATTCCTCTGTATAACTACTATATTGAGGTCTTTCCGCGTGCATGAGCACATGGACGGGTCTGCATCTTGAATGAGAGCGGATTTTGTTCGACGAAGGGAAATTCTTGGACCAATAAAAATCAAGCATGAATATGGAATCTACGAGTATTTCCAACATCAAAGTTATTGAGCATGGGGTACTACGGAAAACCCATTTGCCTCATGCTCTCGACTTGGGTTATTAGTTAAGCACTTTAAATTAAAGACGTTGGTCAAAGTACCGAAGATCGATTGAACATAAAGTATGTTTTAATTTAAGGCATATTAAATTGCTATTGCAACTAATCCAAAATTTTAACATTATTATTACTTGTAATTTGTTTTACTTGGAATTGCTTTAACCTTACAATAACGGGAAGAACATTTTGAAATCCTGTTTAGGAATTCAAGTAGTAAAAAAACAAGGCAATATGTTACAATCATATAGTATGATATCTGAGACTTCCAATTTTAATTAAAAAGTAAAACTATTATCATTGGCATAGCTCAAATGACATTTACTCAAACACTCATTGCGCCCTCGTCGAGTCTTATAAATAGGGCTGAATGTTCGGTGGTGCAGTTAGTCGAAATCGGCGACAGCAACTGAACAGACGTGCGTATTATCAAGTCGAGTCGAGTCGAGTTGAGTTGAGAGTACATATTTATTCATTTGGATGTAAGGCACGAGTTTTGGAAACAACACGTAGTGAGAATATCATAAATTGATAAAAGGTGACCGAACGGTTAATAGGTGCGTGAGCTGAGCAGACGTGGAACTCAAACTGGTTTTAGGAACTCAATGATACGATACTGCAACGTTACGGGACTATAGTTGACCAGCTTTACGCCGAATATATTATACGAGTCAACCAGCCAGTCCTTGGGCTCGTCATCGTCGCCTTTGGGATCGGCTAGCTCTTTGCGCAGGGTCAGCAGAAACTCGCCCAGAACGATGCGGCGATGGGTCGGTGCGATTGGCTCGGGGATCTGCGACTCCTGCAGCACGTCCCTAATCTGTTGCAGCATCTCCTGCTGCTCCCCGGAGCTGGCAAAGTCGCACAAGTCGCGCAGTCCCACAAACACGATATTCGCATACACATAATTGCGCCCCTGCTCGACCAGGCGCTGCACGGATATGGGCACCACCTGGCACAGGTGCTGGCTCTCGAAGCGCACCAGCTTCGTGTACTGCAGGTTGCGCTGGCTCTGCGTGAGCCCGTAAATGGCGCAGGCGCCCTGATCCGTGCAGCAGCTGCGGATGCGGCTCCAGTTCGCCAGACGCACCGCCTCGATCATCAGGGAGGCCGCCTGTCGCACGCCCATCAGGAAATCGAATTCGTCGAAATCGGGGCCCAGCGCGCGGCGCAGCTTCCACATGCAGTAGCGCGAGCGGAGGCCACTGAGCCAGAGCATCAGAGATGGCCGCCAGCCCTGGCGGCGATAGCTCATATAACTCACTTCTCGATTTGGGGGCATGCAGCGCATGGCACAGCGAATTAGCCACCAACATTTTGCTCGACCCTGGGGCAAAAGAGGCGACGGCATGGCTCGCACAGACTTAAGCATATCTAAACAATTGTGACTATAAAATTTTTAAGTGCCGAAACTAAACACAAAAACAAACGCAACTGCGACTCAAAATACGATTTTTATTGGACAAGATTTCCCCAAGCAAAAGAGAAATGATCTTTGGCCAAATGGTGTTAGCGATTTGAGGAGGTTTAGCTTCAATTTAATCGGACTGAATGGGTTAAATTTTATAAATATTAAATATTCTTTTGTGATTCAAAAGCTATGTATTATATGTATACATATATACACATATATACAGTAGAGCTATAGATAAAATCATCGTCTTTCCTCTATATAAAACTTCTAATATAAATGGCTGTAGCATGCGATTACGAAAGTTGGAAAACGGAATATTGTTGATAAGTCATATTTGTAATTAAGTTAAATTTGTTTTTATGTATAAAAAATTTGTTATGAGGGATTGAGTCGTACGTCTGTCTGTTAATCTGTCTCATCGTATGTATTACCTCGTTGATCCCATCACTAATTAGAGCTGGAGACTTTATAAGTAAGCCCCCACAACACACAGATATCGTCTTGTTTTGAGCAATCGATTGATTTTTCTCTTTCAAGAATAGCGATGAAAGGTTTTCTCTGATTTACAGTGGCTCGCAGCCTATTTCCACTAGCACTTTGAAATAATTGATCGTTTATAAAAAATTAAAAAAAAATGAAACTAAAAAGCATAAATAGGACTTTCTCATCTATAGTTTTTTAAAGTAAATATTTCAAAAGCATGATATGGATTTATCAGGGTATCTCGCAGTCGATCACTAACTAGTCTTTCTTGGATTCTTTCACAGCATGCCTGAATTGATGCGCTGCATTGTCGGCTTTTTGCTGCCAGCTATCGTACTATCGCACGATAGTTCCTATCGGTTACCCAGTGCACTAAAGCCGCTGCACTACGATCTGCGTATATTAACCCACTTGATTGCACCCCTAAATCTGAGCTTCGAGGGCAGTGTTAAGATCGATTTGCAAGTCCTGCAAAGCACGAGAGATATCACGTTGCATGCCACAAACTTGACCATAGATGAGGCACGCATAACTTTGTCATCGCGCAACGGCAGCAGAAGTCACAGCATAAGCCGCATTGAGCGCAATGAGACGCTCGAGTTCTACACCATGCGGCTGGATGGGGAGCTGCAGATCCATGAGCAGTACGTGCTAAGCATGCCCTTCAGCGCTGCCATGAATGCTAACGATGTCGGCTACTACTCGAGCTCCTTTCGCGACCCAAAGACAAACCAAACGCAGTGAGCACAAGGACAGTTAGATCGTCGATTCAGCATTTGTATCCTTCATGTTTCTCCCTCAGCTACTTGGCGGCAACACAGTTTTCCCCGACCTTTGCACGACTGGCCTTTCCGTGCTTCGACGAGCCGCATCTGAGAGCCAGTTTCCAGGTAACGCTGGGCTATCATAAGAACTACACCGGATTGAGCAATACGGCCGTCAGTAAATGCGTGGATCAGTAAGTTTCTGACCGACTCAAAAGATCCTTCGGGGCTTGAACAAGTGGCTTTCATTTCAGTGGCCGCCTTCAGGATTATGTGTGGTGTCAGCATGAGCCGCTGCTCAGCACATCCACCTATCTCGTGGCCTACGCCGTGCACAACTTATCCAGCCTTCCGGTGGTGCACAGTGAAACGCAGAACAACGTGTCCTTTCGCAGCTGGATGCCACCAGATGCGGTAAAGGACGGCACTTTCACTGCGAATTTAGCGCCACGGGCCTTGAGCTATTTGGAGAAACTCCTSGAGTTCGCGTTTCCYTTGAGGAAGGTGGATCAGTTGGCGTTGCCTTCGCACAAATTCAGTGCTATGGAAAACTGGGGCCTGGTCACGTTCAAGCAGACCCGCTTTGTCCACTACGATGACGAGCTAATGCAGGATAAAGAGGATAAGGCCTTCACCGTGGCACATGAATATGGACACCAGTGGTTCGGCAATCTGGTGGCCATTAGTTGGTGGAACGATCTGTGGTTGAAAGAGGGACCCTCCACGTACTTCGCCAACCTGGCGCTGGATGCTCTCATGCCCGAGTGGGGCAGTCTCCAGCGCAGAGTGGCAAACGATTTGGCTACGTTCTTTTGCAAGGATATGTTCAACGATACAATCGCSATTTCACGCGATGTGCACGATTCGAAGAGCATACTGGAYCAGTTTACTCCGCATGTGTACGAGAAGGGATCCCTCACGATGCGCATGCTCCACAAGCTGCTGGGCGACGAGGCCTTCCTCATGGGCACACGCAACTATTTACGGAGACATGCCTATGACAGTGTTAGACAGTCGGATCTGTGGCAGGCCATGCAGGAGGCGGCAGATCCGAAGGGCTCAGGTGGCATTCGTCTGTCGACTGTGATGGACAGCTGGACATTGCAGAAGGGCTATCCGCTTCTGACAGTGATTAGGAATTACAGTTCCAGTACCGTCTGGGTTGATCAGGCTCGTTTCATGCTGGGAGCTGATAGCGGGGAGCCCACTTGCTGGTGGGTTCCGCTCACGTTTGTTAATCAACGCCAAGGAAACTTTGACGAAACGCAGCCCCAGTTTTGGCTCGAGTGTCCAAGCGCGGSCAAGACATTCCGCCTACTCAAGGACCCCGCCCCCAACGAGTGGATCATGCTGAATCCCCAAGTGAATAGCATTTATCGCGTCAACTACGATGAGCCCAATTGGCGGATGATTATCAAAACTCTCAACTCGGCTGACTATGGCTCTATTCACGCACTCAATCGTGCCCAATTGCTGGATGACCTCCTAATGTTGGCCGCCACCCGGGTGCAGAGCTACGATTTGGCCTTCTCTAT